TTATAGATCGGTTCGAGAGTGAGAGTAACAAAATGTAACTTACCAGAATATGTGGCAATTATAGAAAATGCTTAAAATTAGTTGAATCACAACACTTTCTTCACTCGCTTTCTTCACACATTTCGTTGTGAGCAGATTATTATTTATCGACAACACGTCTCCATCACTAGCATCTAGCAGCTAGGCACAGTCTTTGAAACTGGAAAGCACCTTTTATTAGGTACGTGTTACGTAGCACCAGAGAGGAAATGAGAGTGCTCACGCTCACCGCCCAGGTTTCGGCGTCCCCAATTCGATGGTGCTGCCAAAGCTAAATTTTGCAGGGATCTGACACGTTCAGTTCAACCACCGAGGAGAGCACCAAAGATGCTAGATAGAGCCGATAGAGGACGGGAGCCACCTCAGCCACCAAGAATCAGCCCCTCCACTTACGCACAGCGTTACCATATTTTTACCCAAGGCCGGAAAGTGGGGACGACGCGACCATGGTGGGGACCATACCGCTGCGGAGAGCTTCGCGAACGCGCATGAGCACGCATGAGGGGAATAGTAGTGGGGATCGAAATACGGGCGAAAAACAGGGGAAGCGGTGGCCTTGGGTAAAAATATGGTAACGCTGCTTACGCACCGTATCAGTTTTCTCCGAGCTCAATTTCTCGGCTCAACTTCGGCTCAGTAGAGAGAAAAGGCGAAATATCAGTCTGTTGCTCTTGCTTCTGATGCATTAAAGTCCAAGCGGCATGCAGCGTGCAGTGGTGCCAGGGTTCGTATAATTTTTCCCGCACGGCTCGCTTCCCCTCTTTTTCGCCCGTATTTTGATCCCCACTACTATTCTCCTCATGCGCCTTCGCTGACCATTCCTAGCATACCCCCATCAAGTACCAGTCCCCACCATGGTCGCGTTGTCCCCACTTTCCGGCCGAGAGAAAAATTATACGATTCCTGAATGGTGCATATAATAGCACTGTGTACTGTGTGTGTATTACATACATAACACAAATTTATTTGTATTAATAATTATGCATATAATTAAAAAAGAATTTTCATTTCAGAATATCAGAATATTATGTTTTACACATTTAAAATTATGTAAATCTAAGTACGAGCTTGGGATATTAATACAGTGCCATGTAACATAAGGAAGATGCACAAAAATGATATTCATCGAATGTGAAGACTGAAAATTTTAGGTATTGCACGTATGTATGTGCTCTCTTTTTACTTTCTATGCATTTATAATAAAATCATAATTGTATGTCTTCGGATTTTAGTTTGGGAGGACCAGAAATCAACTCACCAAACAGTATTGATAATCTTGCTTTTTGTACAATTGAACAAAACTTGGTGAAGTTCAGTATGAAAGCAAAATAAGTAATTTTCATACGAGAGTGAACATGAGAGTAAAACCTCTTTTTATAATATTCTGTATTAGTACAGTACTCTTTTGAATAGGACAATATATCAACAAAATTGTATATAAATTACATTTAGAAACCCCATTCATTCTTAGTATATTAATTTCATTTAGAAAGCACATTGCAACAATTAGAAATATTCAATATAGGGAACATAAATGTCAAATATCTACAAATTTAATAATACGTACTTGCAGTAGTTTCATATAACTATTTGCCATTTGGCACTATGCAAGGAACAAACCTACTGAATCTGGTTCTCAACTATTTAGTGGGATTGCTACCCAAAAGTGACTTATAATTAAAACAATCCAAAGAACAATATTTGTTGCAACAATCAAGTAATATGGAAGCAGTAGTCAACATGTTGTGTTAGTAATTAAAAAAATGTATATAGATATGCACTAAATATCTCAGCCATTGTCGCAAGATGTTGGCAAACGATTGAATATTTAATACAATCAGTATTAAGTACAATCCATCAAGAACTAACTTTAATTCGATAAAACACGAAACATAAAAGTATCGAAAAATTCTATTCCATCGGTAATGTAAGAAAGCGTAGCTGGGAGTAAAAAAACTTACCCAGGCGAGGTAGTAAGTGTTAGGTTATATTTATATATTATAGATCGGTTCGAGAGTGAGAGTAACAAAATGTAACTTACCAGAATATGTGGCAATTATAGAAAATGCTTAAAATTAGTTGAATCACAACACTTTCTTCACTCGCTTTCTTCACACATTTCGTTGTGAGCAGATTATTATTTATCGACAACACGTCTCCATCACTAGCATCTAGCAGCTAGGCACAGTCTTTGAAACTGGAAAGCACCTTTTATTAGGTACGTGTTACGTAGCACCAGAGAGGAAATGAGAGTGCTCACGCTCACCGCCCAGGTTTCGGCGTCCCCAATTCGATGGTGCTGCCAAAGCTAAATTTTGCAGGGATCTGACACGTTCAGTTCAACCACCGAGGAGAGCACCAAAGATGCTAGATAGAGCCGATAGAGGACGGGAGCCACCTCAGCCACCAAGAATCAGCCCCTCCACTTACGCACAGCGTTACCATATTTTTACCCAAGGCCGGAAAGTGGGGACGACGCGACCATGGTGGGGACCATACCGCTGCGGAGAGCTTCGCGAACGCGCATGAGCACGCATGAGGGGAATAGTAGTGGGGATCGAAATACGGGCGAAAAACAGGGGAAGCGGTGGCCTTGGGTAAAAATATGGTAACGCTGCTTACGCACCGTATCAGTTTTCTCCGAGCTCAATTTCTCGGCTCAACTTCGGCTCAGTAGAGAGAAAAGGCGAAATATCAGTCTGTTGCTCTTGCTTCTGATGCATTAAAGTCCAAGCGGCATGCAGCGTGCAGTGGTGCCAGGGTTCGTATAATTTTTCCCGCACGGCTCGCTTCCCCTCTTTTTCGCCCGTATTTTGATCCCCACTACTATTCTCCTCATGCGCCTTCGCTGACCATTCCTAGCATACCCCCATCAAGTACCAGTCCCCACTATGGTCGCGTTGTCCCCACTTTCCGGCCGAGAGAAAAATTATACGATTCCTGA